TACTAAGCTTAGTCTTTCTTTATGTAGTCGCCTCCCAGAGTTATACATGTTTGCCATATGTGTATGACCTTGAAAAGACCTTAAGAATAGAGGATCATCTCTATGTCAGAAAACCAGCCTTCTACCGCTTCTTTGACCTCAATATCACTTTTTTTACACCAAAATGTTATTACAGCATAGGATGGGCAATCAGTTCCATATACGACGTTCATCTCCTTAAAAATATCCTGTAGTTGCTTGCCTTGCAAGAAAAAATACTTCATTACTTACTGCCCTGTGCTCAATATTTTCAATTTTTACGTTGAAACTGGTGAACAACATACCCCCATTCACTTACAGTGCGCTGATGGTAAAACCGGTAATCTGAAATTCCCAAAAATTTACAAGCGTTCCAGGAAGATGATTTTTGGCTTTTATCCCACATTTCAGCTTTCTACCTTTATTCCTTCATGGTCAGGTAAAAAACTTTTGGTATGCCCCTCGTATAATTTATGAATCCACTCCCTTGGAGAAAACCTGTTTTATCGAGTATATATTCTCTTTCTGCTCGGGCGCAGCGCAATCTACCAGTTTGCCTTTCTGTATATAATAATAATAATAATAATAATAATAATAATAATAATAATAATAATAATAATAGATAGCATTTGTATAGCGCAATCCCCGTTCAACAGCAAGCTCTATGCGCTTCACAATCAATAATATTACCCCAGCAGACCTGAAAGCACTCTGAAACAATCTCAACCTCATGGGAAGCATACAGCGCAAGCGGCTTTTTATAGGCGTTTAAACACTAACATACTGACAAGATCTTTCTTTGTCTATGGCCGGGTACCCATTCCCACCTGGTTGAAGTGAGGAAAATTCGTGTAAAGTGCCTTTCCCAAGGACACAACGTCAGCCCCGCCGCTTGGACACCTGAACCCGCAACCTCACGATTATGAGTCATGTAGCCTAACTACTAGGCCACCACCTGTCCATCCTACCGTGCACCCTTCCATATTATGTCCAGACCAACTACTCTTTTACACTCGTATCTACTGTCTATCTGTCTGTCAGTCTGTGTCTCTTTCTCTCTATTTATTTGTGGGTGGTTGGCGGGTGCTCTGGTGTGGTTTGCTTCTTCTTTCCTTTCAAACGTATTATATCGTCCTTATCTCCCCTTCTTTTTTTAATGTTTGTTACTCTCTTGTAACGCCGCTAATCTTCTGGCGCTGATATGGCCTTATGCAGTTGCGAGCGCCGTAAAACCTCTACTAAAACTAAAACTATAATCTCTATTTATCTATCTATTTAGTATACCATTCTCGATTTGAACTAAAGTTTATTTCTATGTTCTTATGGTATCTAACACGTTTTGTGTGCGCAGCAAGAATAAAGTGTGTCGCTGCTGTGCAATGTAATATGTTCTGTATAGATTGCAGTTCACATGTGATGGACCGGCGTCTGTGGTGTCGTCGACTCATGCAGAAGACCTTAGTTTGATTCCCATGCGGGGAGTATTTGTATCTCTATTATCTCGGCCTTTTTGTAGGTACAAAAAAAGAACCCCACTAAGATTTGCATTAAGTCTACGTCTTACAAATGCTTTAAAAGAGCTGTAGCCTGCAACCAGAAATGATACGAGTATAATTAGAAAATTGTTTTCAATTTTTCTTAAGAAAAATAAGAGGGAAGGGGAAACAACAGTGGGACGAAACTTAGAACTAGTCCTTAACATCGCCCAGTCACGTAGTCTTAGTCTTCGATCTGTCTGCTCAAGGGTGACTCTCTATTCGTGTATAATATGTCCTCTCTGGCTACTTCTCTGCAGAGGAACAGAGGAACGCTTCTAGGCACCTCGTAGACCGTAACAGATAATTGCATTGGGGTAGGATTTGTGGTATACGTACACTGTGTACTTGCTGACTAGATCTATTGCTGAGGTTCCTGGCTCTGTCCTGCCCGCCCCGGCGAGTCTATTGTCGTAGAGGATCGTGACATGTGTCACTGCATCGATTTTGATCATTGGCTCTGCAGGGTCCGAAAGTAAACAGCGTTAAGGGCATTAGAGATAGTGAGATATATCCTATGAGTATGAGGAGCACGGAGGAGGGAAAAGGGGGGGGGATTCTTGGTTAGGTTATGCTTGGGGAGTCCCGTGAAGAATAACATTATTACGCACATGCACCTTAGGCTTCTGCTGCGGAAATTAGTCCAGAGTTAGAATAACGTTGACAGTATCTTTGTCCTGTCCCGTCTAGATGTTGCACTGCGAAAGATTTGACTTGAATTCATATTCGTCATGTTACGAAAAGTTCTATTGTACGAGGGCGCCCATTGCTGGTCAGACTTTAATCTCCCCTCTAGCTCTGTTATCTCAATCCTACCTAGCTAATAAATGTTACCGTCGTTATGACGCTGTTTTCCTTTTTAACACGAAATTGCAATTCTGGACCATAGACTGTTTACCTTATGAGAGAGTGTTCGAATGGACACATTTTCCCTTATGTTTGTTGGTATACTGTACGTGTATATATCTGTGCGTTGAAGCGTGTATGAGGCGAACGTTTGCTTCTACTACATCTCGTCCTATTTCTACAGTAATATGTTTACCATGCCCTGTCCGATTTTATTGAATATGTATCCCTTCGTCTCTTAGCGATCTACAATGCGTTCGAATCCCAACAGGGCTGGGAATTGCGCATGCATTTGTTCGATTTTAAGTCCTGCCCTGTGTTAACTAGACATCAACATCCTTTGCACGAGAAAATGTATTGTTTTCTCTTCCGATTGACCCAATAAAAACCGGGGTAAATTCTTGCTCTGTGGGCTTTTGAGTCTTTTCTCTTTCTTTTGTGAGTCTCTTCTCATTCTCTTACTTTTTCCAGCGTTGGTTGTTTTGTTTTATACTGTGTATGGTCCTTCAGTATTGTCTTTGTGTGTTTTAAAAGATTTTAAAATCTAATTGTTTCTTTTTATTTATTTGTCTTTGACATTGGCTGACCCAGAGTGTAGGAAGACGTCGACATCTCACTCCGCCCGAGCCTCTGAGTATACATGGTGCTCTCTTCAGTAACCCGCTGCTGCCCAACCCTGCAGTGTGTGCCTGTTATCTCGAGGAACTTGGCTGTTCCACGGCCAAACGTGCTGTTGTTCAAGTCTGCTCGACGTAGAGAGACCACGCAACTAAATATCCGCTCTTTGGGGTCTTTGTCTTCAACGCCTGTACTCCTGGCCTCGTCATCGTTGTCATCGCCATCTTCCTCATCAAAACTTGTCAGCAAAGCGACGGGTAGTTTGCGTGGAGGAAAGCTAGTTTGTTTGCTACGAGTCAGTCCTCGACGCCCTTCCCCGACTCCGAGCCGTCGAGGTATCCACACCCAGGTCGGCGTGATGGCCAAGAGCAAGTTTGAGTACGTGAAGCAGTTCGAGACGGACGACCCGTGCCTGCAGAACTGCTGGATTGTCGTCAGGATCGACGGGAAAGCCTTCCACAAGTGAGTTGTTTTTCTGGAACCATTTCTCTCTCTCTCTCTCTCTCTCT